CCCGACAGAGAGCGGCTCAGCCATGTGCTGGAGCCCGGCACGGACAGGCCTCGATTGCGACTTTAGACCGCTTTTCCTCTCCTTTCGGAATCCATCAATCCTTGCACAACAGCAAGGCTAACCCGTGGCCGAGCTGAGGCCCAGACCCTGCCTGTCGGATGCCAAAAACCCAGCTTTCCGCCCCAAGCTCTGAGCACCACCGCCTCCCTCCCGCTGAGGAAAGGGCAGTAATGTGGATCGCATTAGCTCAGGCCAATAACGCAGTTTTACGGTCATGGAGATGGAAAAAGAAATCAACAGGATTTCACCAAGATGTCAACACTTGCCTAAGAGAACAAACTTACAGCAGTGCTCTTGAGCAACATCATTTGCATTTAAACGAGCTGGAGCTCATCCTGGGGCTCCAGGACTTGGGATGGAGCTTCAGACTTGGGCCCTACTGCAGACCAAGAGATCCCATCACACTCCAGGCCCTCCTGCGCCCTCTAGTGGCTGCATCTCAGAACTCCCCAGACGAGATTTTTGGAGAAGCAGTTTGCTACAGCCAGGTAAAAAAAACAAGACAAAACAAATCACCTGATCCGACCCGCGCAATATCCTAGCGGCTAAAGTCTTCGCCTTGAACGAGCTGGGATCCCATGTGGCGGCCGGTTCTAATCCCGACAGCCCCGCTTCCCATCCAGCTCCCTGCTTGTGGCCTAGGAAGGCAGTGGAGGACAGCCCAAAGCCCTGGGAACCTGCACCTGCGTGGGAGACCTGGAAGAAGCTCCTGCTTTGGATTGGCTTAGCTCCAGCTGTTGCGGTCATTTGGGGAGTGAACCATAGGATGGAAGAGCTTCCTCTCTGTCTCTCCTCCTCTCTGAAGGGGCGGGGCCAATGTTAGGTGTTGATCTAGCTGGCCTCCAGTCCCCAGGGCTAGGTGTGAGCAAAGCCCATACTCAGCTAACCCACTCAGGGGCGGGGCGGGCAGGGGGCTGAGTCCAGGAGCTGAGGGGCCATCAGGGCTGAGCTGAGGCTTCCCTGAAGTCCCACCTGTGGACAGCAGCTGAAGCTTGACCTGAGCATTCAGCCTGTTTGCCCCCACAGCCTGCCCTATGGAGTTCAGATTCACCCAGGCAGCACCCACCGTGCTGGTCAACGCCTTCCCCCACGCCTCTTCACGTGGGCCTCCTGCTGCCCTGGTGTCTCAGGCTAGATCCTCCCCTGAGGAGACAACTCAGGGCGGGGAGGCTATCCCAGAGGCAAAGGCCTCTGTCCAAGGTCCCGTGCGCCTGACTCCCCACCCCCACATCCACCACGGCCTTCCGCCCCCCACCCCCTCCCCTGAGGCCGCTGGGCCTCCCTTGTAAAGCTACTCAGAACCCCTGCAGAGGCTCCTTATCTCCCTCAGCAGGCATCAACAGCTTCCAGGCCAACCTGGAGGTCTCTAAAATATCATTTGCCCTAGGCTTCTCCCCTCCCCTATCACCTCGCCCAGTCCCAAGGGCCAGTGAGCCTTTCCCCAGCCTAGAGCCTTATGCCTTATTTCTTTAGCCCTTCCGCATGAGACTCCTCTCCCCAGGTAACCTTGTCACAACTCAGCTTCCCTCCACCCCCAGTACCGTTCTTCTAGCAGCTGGCCCCCAGAACGGGCTGCAAACCCGCCTAGGGCAGTTCACACGCCTGTAACCGCAACATTTCCATACATCAAGTGCTCCACAGAGCCAGCTGCAGTAACTCCTCTTGCCTCCATACTGCTCCTAGATCACCAAGCCTCCGGCTCTCAACCCCCAAACCAGAAAAAAACTGCTTGCTCTTTCCTGCAGGTGTCCCCCTGCCATGCCTGCAGCGGGTTCTCTCATCCGTGAACATCTCTTCCATTCACTCAAGCCCTCAACGGGTCTGGGTAAATCCTGATCCGTCCTGCACCCCAGTGAAAGCTGCTACTCTCAAGGCGAAGGGAGAGGCAGCTAACAGACACACAGCACAGGCCAGGCGTGGGAGAGGAGGGGTGATGCAGAGTGCCTTGCGGGGGCAGCCGGGGAAGGGCAGAGGGCTCAATGAGCCAGCCACATGCAAGATGAGGGAAGAGTCTTCCAGACAGAGGAAACGACAAGGACAAGGGCTGCTTGGAAGGGGCTGGCAGAGCTGCAGGGATGGGGGTGGGGGTGGGAGGGCAACGTATGTGCTATGTGGGCCCTAGAGCACTAAGCCCAAGCCGAGAGGACAGGTGTGCCTGTCTGGATCACACAGGGCTCAGGGAAAGGAGCTGGCACCCCTGGGGAAATTTGTACATGATTTTTGGGAGATGATTCCAGGAGGCCTCTCTGACTGTGGTGTGGATGGTAAATGTGACAACAGAGGAATCAGGTAGGCAGCCAAGAGCTTCCTGAAAAGAGGAAGAGGACTTCCAACAGGTGTGGTGGTAGAGGTGGGAGAAACAGGTGCATCTGGAGGTAGGGCTGGTAGGTGAGAGGAAGGAGGCGCCCAGGACGCCTCCCGACTTCAAGCTGCAGCAGATGTGACAGAGGGGGTGGGGGAAGGCATGCGGGTGTGTTAGAGGCCACACTCTCCTCCTGGTATTGGGGCCCCTGGGAACTTTCCTCTGCTGACCCCTTGCTCCCCAAGCCTTGCTCCAGGCCACACACTGTGCTCAGCAAGGGCTCCTTCAAGGAGAAGCTGGGGCTTTGGGAACTGCACGTTAAAATAAAGCCACTTTCTCTGTGCCAGTGCCGCCGGCTGCAGTGACCTGGGGCAGCTTGGTGAGGTTCATCAAGGAGCAGCCCATGGCCCTAGTTTGCACTTGGCCATGAACTCCAGTTTGTACTTGGACAAGGACAAGGACCCATTACCCCTTTAAGCCTCACCTGGCGAGGGAAATCCCAACACCCAGCACACAACGTGGCTCCATGCAGCAAGAAAAAGAACAGGCAAAGTTCTAGCACACAGTAGGTTCTCATGATCAGTTACCCAACTGCCAGTGAGTGGGGTGCCTGACTCAGGGAGTCACCATGGAAACAGCCATCAGGTTGAGTATGATAGAGATGGCTGTTGTAACTGGCTCATGTAATGGTGGGGGCTTGGTGAGGCCACAGTATGCTGGGGAGGCCTTTAACAGTGAGTCTGCTCCTGCCCCAGGGTCTTTGTACCTCCCTAGGGGAGGGCAGTCTTTGTTCTATTAAGCCCTTCAACTGACTGGATGAGGCCCACAGACCCACCTTACGGGAGGGTAATCTCATCTTCCCACCCTCATCACAAACACCTTCACAGGAATATCCCCTTAATCACGCAGGGTCTCCCATCACGAGCTGGGCGTGAACATTAGCCCTGATGGGCTCAGAGACGTAAGCAATCTACCCAAGGTCACAGAGGAAAGAGGCCAGACTGGGTCCCGCTGCCTGGCTCCAGAGCTGGCTCCTCTAACCAGGACACTAAACGGCCATCATCATAAGCACACGAAAGCAAATTAAATTTTCTCCCTCAGTGCTTTTCCTGGCCGGAGGGTGGAAGGCAGAGAAACTGGGGAGGCCTTGAAGAAACTGGGGGTGGAGAAGGGGAGCAGGCTGGGTGGGGCCATGCATGAAAGCTGAGAAATGGGAGACTCAGGGTGAGTGGGGTAAACTGAGGCCCTGAGTGATAAGGCGTCAGCTGAAGGTCCCATGGGGAAGCGAAGTGGCTGTTGAAGCTGGACTGAGTCCTAGGATCACAAGAAGGCAGGGATGGTGATGCCAGGTGTCCTGGACATGCACTCACTGCCCAGAGGCGTGACAAGTTTGCACAGAGAGGTGCCACCACTTGCCTGAGTGAGGATGCAAGGACAGGCGTACCTCCAGGCTGGCCCCTCCCTCTAATGAGTGACCGCCCCAGGTCAGGTCCCAAGGCATTGCCCAGCCTGCTCACTCACAAAAGGAAATGCTCTAGGCACCAGTAGGCCGGATCACCTGAGACACCCCTGAGGGTGGGCCTGTGTACCTGCCTGGCCAGACACACACACCCATGGGAAGAGACTGCAGCCCCAGGCATCCAAACACAAACATATCCCAGGGCACACCCATGAACACACAACTTCTTCTACACACCTGCCTGCCCCAACACAAAACCTTGGCCACAACCTTCCTGGTTCCTGCAAGCACTGAGGGAGCACTTGGAGACACAGAGCCCCACCCTACACTTGTGTCCACGTTGGTTCTTCCTGCCTCCACTACCCAGGGCCCCTGCATGTGAGCCTCCATTATGCGTATTTCCCACATCTCTGGGAAGTCCACCCACGTGCCCCCATCCCCAAGCCAGCACGGTGGGTGGCTGCAGTCAGTTCTTGCTCCACCTCTGAAACGGGCACAGCCCAACTCCTAGGGACCACCCTCCCTCTTCCACACCCCGACGCTTGCCTCTCCCATCCTTGACCCCGGTGGACAGCGCCCAGCACACAGTGTCCAAGAACCGACCGCACCTCTCCCTGTCCCCACCCTGGCGAACTCCCGGTAGGCCCTGGCACCTGTTAAGCCCACACAGGGTGACTCATCGCATGCCACACACCCCCTAACCCCTCGGCAGCCCCGAAGGCAGGAGAAGGCGCTCAGGGTCGGGGAGGGGGCTAGGTTCACCGGGCAGGCGCTACAAACTCAGGCCACTCAGTGCCCACCTCCTTGCAATACAGCCTGCCCGTCACTCCAGAAGGACCCGAGAAGGCACAGCAATGCGGGCCAACAGCCAGGGGTCTGCGACTGGGGGCGCGAGGGATCGGCAGCCCAGGGGCTGGGGGGTGCAGAGGGAGGCGCTTCCCAAGACACGGCGCACTCCCCACTTCACCCACTCCCGTGGCGTCAAGAGCCTTAGGGGGGTCGGTGGGGAAGGAGACTGAAGATGCGCCTACTATGGGCCTCAAGGCACTGGCTGGGAAGAGAGCAACTGAAGGTGCAGATGCTAATCCGCCAGCCAGGGACCACCGCAGCCCACAAAGTCCTCTGTGGGGGTCACAGCAGAGGAGAGCGGGGAGAGAAGCACGCTCGGGGCTCCCTTACCTGATTTCCTCTTGGAGCTGCCGTAGTCTCTGAAAAAGAAGCAACAACAGACAGACATGGTTAGGGCCGAGACGGGCCCCCGGAGCTACGGGCTCCGAAGACGCTGGCAGGGAGCTGCGGGTCGGCCGGCGCCGCTGCTCATGTGACGCTGGCGGCCGGCGAGCTGCGCGCTCTGCAGCTGCACGCACTGCGCGCCGCGCCGGTCCGAGGTCCCGCCGCCTCCTCCACCGCCCGCCCCCGGGCACCATCCGCCCGGCCCGCCCACGTGGCCCGCCCCCGGGGGCTCACCGTCCCTCATCCCGGGAGGATGGGGTAGGCTCGGCAGCTTCCCACGCACTTGGTAAGCTGGGAGACTGAGGTTCCTGCAGAGCTGTCCCCCTCGCCCTGCTACGCCCCCCAAACCCCAGGTGCTTCCGTTCCTGATTCTTTCCATCCCCCACTCCCTGCCAGAACACCCAACCCGAAAGTCACCTCCTCTGAAACCCACCCTGTCCCCCCCCCCCGTCACAGCTGTGTGTGTGTGTGTGTGACCCCGTGACAGAAGTCTGCAGGTGCCAGGGATACCCCGGGGCTGGCCTCTTTCCGCCCCCTGGGCCATGCAGGGGGAGGGGCTAAAAAGGGGAGGAGATTTCGGAAAGTTGTCTGAGAGATGGCATTGGAATATTTTTGATGCAAAACAATATTTAAAAGAGAGAGAGAACTCTAAGATCCATGAAGTGTTTGAAAGACTTGGGGGTTGGTGGTGAACTCCCAGACCAGGCAGGGAAAATCCTGCCCCTGATGGGAACCTGAACACCTAGCCAGGCTTGCCCCAGGATCTACCCCACCACCTCCACCCCAGGAGGCGGGCATAATACTTAGGTTCCAGCAAGGCATCCCTGACACTCAGCACTGGGCATGCTCCCCACGTGGGCCCTGGCCAGAGCCTCACACAGGCTGGAGGCTGTCAGGTAGGTGTTTGGAGCCTGGGAACTGGCTCTGCAGGCCCCTCCCATTTCCCCTGAGGACCAAGCAAAGGGCAGTCCCCTGTCTCTGGGCAAAGGGGTCTGGCTGCTGGAGAATGGACAGAGGTTCACAGGGAACAGAGCAGGACCAAGTTCTAGGGGACATCCCGAGACTCTGGCTCTGGAGAGCCTGGGGTACCTGGGATGTAGGAGTGTGTTTTAGCCCCTTGGTGACTTCCCCTGGTAGCAATTGCTCAGGGATAAAAAGCTCATGTAGCTGACATCTCAAGGTTTAATTCAGTGAAAAAGTTGCATCACTGCAAGGGTGATTCCCCCGCAAGCTGGCAGTCAGGGGGTCCCACTCCCCTGGTTCCTACAGTTCCTACAGTTTAGACTCCAAGCACAGTGAATCAGTGCTGGGGGCTGGGCCCAGGAGCCTGCAGTTCTCCCACCCCATCCGGGAACCTCTCTGGTATCCGTGTCTCCCTCATTTATCCTGGCAATGCTAGCAGGAAGGTCCTGACCCCTCCTGCCCATGGCCACCCAACGTGGGGAGCTGCAGGGTGGATGAGGAAAACCTATGCATGACAGTTCCACTTACCACCCCCCTCACACCTGACTGCTCTAGGGGACCCTAACAGGGGCGTGCTTGTCTTCTTAGGGTACAAGCAGGCACCCAGAGTGCCCAGCTATGCCCCCCAGGAGCTCAAGTGTGGGGGCAGTGCCCAGGGATGGGGAAGAGGAGAACATTACATGTCAGGATGACCTTCCATGTCCAAGATGGAACTTCATTGTTCAGGCCACTGGGTAAGGGCAAGGGGGTGATGGTAACGAGCAACTGGCCTCTTCCTGTCACCATTTCCCTGCTGGACCAGGTAGGAAGAGCCCCCTGGGATCACATGGCCTGCTGACTGTCCCCCTGGGCTGCCAGCAGGGAGTTGAGGGTGGGTGGCTTCCTCAACAGCCACGGTCGTTCCTCCCCACCACCCACCCACATCAAATCCCGGTGTGTGCAGCTTTGGGCTGCTGTGCTTGAGTGTGTGTGTGTGTGTGTGTGGGTGGGTGGGTGTGTGTGTGCATGGGGAATGGGAATGAGTCATGTCTGGGTGCCTTCTTGGTGCCAGGTGTGTTGGCAAGGAGACTTAGCTTAGCCAGGCAACAGAATCATCCAGAAAGCTGCCTACAGATTCAGATGGAATCTGTATCTCCCGCCCACCAGCTTCCAGGAATGGGGTGGGGTGGGGGTGTTCAGTCAGCAGGATATCATCTGCATCAGGTCCCCTGCCTCGCAGCATCACAACATCTTTTGGCCCACCTGACCGCGAGTGGAGGACACAGCCCTCCCCACCAAGGACTTTCCTGGAGTCTTCCCTGCAGTTAGTGTGGTCTCCTTGACCTGGTCTTGTAGATGAGAAGGAGGAAAGCTTAGAGAAGCAGGGTGACTAGGCACCAGTCACATAGTGCTGGGGTGACCCAGGGACCCTGCCTGGCTCGGAGACTTCCCTTTGAATCCCCAGGACCCAGCAGCAGGTGCAGGAGGGGGTGGCAGAGCACCGGGAGCAGCGGCTAGTGGGCTGTGGCTGAGGCTTGGCAGGGGGGAAGCCTGTCAGTGCCTGAATGGTGGGAATGGCAAGCAGAGAAACCCTTCATACACTATCTGGCTTCTGGCCCAAGCAGGCTGCCCTAATAGGAAACCTCTTAAGAGGCTTCCGGTGGGGCACCTTTCAGCAGACATTTCATGCTTTTTTGTGGTTGCATCTGCTGGGCAGCAGCTGGAGTATCCATAGCCTGGGGCTTCCCTATTCCTCTGGGGCAGGGGGAGACAAGGCAGGGCTCCCTTCCTTCCCCCCTCCAACTGCTCCTGGCTCTGAGCCGGACAGCACAGGACTCAGCTGGAAATCAGCTCCCCAGCAGCCTAAGGCCCCCTCCCTACACTCCTCCCACGGCCCCTCCTTGCTCCAGTTCTTGTCCCAAGCTGCTGCTGCTGCTGCCGCCACCAGTCCCCTCCCTGCAGGGACTCCACTCCTGAGCTAGCTTGCTGTGAATCACCAGCTCTGGCAGCCACCAACAGTGAGGGGACAGGAGGGGAGAACAGTGCCAGAGGCTCATGTCACCCAAGGCCTTCCTGGCTGGGTTGGTCAGGACTCAGCTCCCAGCAGGCCACTCAGCCTCATGGGCAACTGGTCCATAGCTACGGTGACCAAAGGACTCACAGGGCTCCGGAGTTGGGGATAAAGGGTGGAGATGCCTGCCCAACTCCGTGCCCCTTCATTCATGACAAGGACCCCCATCCCCATCAAGGCTTCCAGTTTTGCCCGCCAAGAGATGCAGTTCAAGCCTTGGCCCTCAGGGTGATGTTGCCTGTCTGGGCAAGGACAGGTTCCAGAGGCAGTTTCCAGTTCTTACACCCATGGCATGTATTGGTCGGGGGTGAAGCCTTCACCCCTGTTTAACTGCAGGAAAGACAAGAGCAGTCCAGACCCTTCAGAAGTGGAGGTCAAGGCAGGGGCAAGTGGTGGAGGGTGTGTGGGATGCTGGACTACTCAGGACCTGTTATCATCCTTCCCACCCGGACCTGCTGAGCCTGCAGACTCACCAAACAATGGTCCCATTTCCAGGGTGACATGGACCCCCCTGGCATGGGCACACTCTTGTGGACATGTCCATCAGCAGCATCCTTTAGGTCTCAGGGAGCAGTGGACTCTTGGAAGCCAAAGGCTGTGAGTGAGCCACGTTCACCCTAACCCCCACGCAGGAGATGCTGTGTGCTGTGTTCCCTCCAAGGAGATTGGCGAGGGGGAGAGCAAGGAGGGGTGACCCAAGGGAGGGTAGGAGAGGTGTGGCCTGTGGGTGTCCCTCGCCTTGCATCCTGACCTTGAACACCTGCAAGCATTTGGGGTGCAGCAGGTGTTAATCCACCTCACAGATGAGTAGACTGAGGCTGTGAGGGCTTTGGGGTTTGTCCAGGCTTGCGAAGCCAGCCATGCAGTCCTGGTCCAGCACACTGCCCGAGGGCCATGCTGCAGTCCACCAAGCTCTTGCTGGGGAAAGGAGGTAGCTGCCCTGTGGTCGGGGTTTCCAGAGTGAGACGAGCAGCCAGGACGAGCAGCAGAGGGGGGCAAGGGAAGGCGTAGGGAAGGAAGTCAGGTCTGGCTGGGCTGTTCCAGGCCCCACCACATAGAACTAGACACAGCCTGCATCTGCCCTCCCCCAGCCTCCCTGCCACCCTTCGCCTTGGCAGAGGACACACACGCACCACCTTCTAGTCTGATGTTCTCATCCTCCTGGCTGACATTGGCTGCTCAGCCCAGGGTGCCTGACTGTAGGGCCTAATGCTGCTGGCAAGCTGGAGGGGCTGGCTGGGTGCCCGATGGCTGGCTTGGCAGTAACCTTGAGAGCAAGGTGGTTGTGAGGGACCTGGGCACTATGTGGAATGGAGGGTTGGGGAGCGGTTGGAACATCACCTTGGTCAGGGGAGCGACGTGGAGCCCTTGGTATGTGATGTCTGACTTTGACTATCGTTACCACCCACTTTTTAAAAGCTCCTGATGTCGACAACCACATTAAGGCCTGCAAGATGGGGAGAACAAACCACACTGCACAACGAGAAAGTCAACATTCAGGACGATCCATGCCAGTCCCAGGAAGGGTGGCACTTCAAGTGCACGAGAGGGGAGGGCGCAGGGGCCTATAGGATATCCCGGGCTCCTTCCTGGGAGGACTGGAGAAATCAATGGAGACAGGCGAGGAGTAAGCTCTAAAGGACAGGAAGTCACAGGTTCAGACACAGGAAGGGCTGGCCGATGGAGGGTGAGCGGACAGATGGGGCAGGAGGCAGGCTGGGCAAATGCAGTGTGTAACATGAGTGCCAAGCCTGGCTCCGCCTCTTACCGCCACTTCAAGGCAGGAACCTGGTCGTGAGTTTTGGCATCAATCATAGGGCTGAGACGTTTCCCAAAGAACAGAAGTGAGTGGTAAGCTGCTTGTGCCATGAGTCAGGTGTCTGTTTTCCAGGGCAGGTGACCTCTAAGAACACCATCCCCAAAAGGAGGCCACCTGGGAGTTAAGACTTCAAATTCTCCTTG